GGTTTTTCGCCATTGATTAGACTCAACTATATTGGGAGAAGAGCGTAGTAAGTAGTTAGCGAAGAAACCAACTGATATCAGGTGCAAATAGAGCCACTAATGCTTCAGAGTCTCAGCGCAAGGCGTACAGTAAATCTTTATTTTGGTTTTGAATCCAAACAGCTGATCACCGTGTTTTCTCCTACGTTTCTCAACGAATCCATGATCATATTCGTAAATATTCAACGTTAGACTAAGCAGAACATTTCCTGGCGGGCAGACGGCGTTTAAAGGAACTCTCAATTTCATGGTTAAGACTTGCTACATTAGGAAATCCCAAAGACTTCCGTGTAACATCCTACACGCCCTACAATAGTTTTCGTTCTAAAACACATTTTTCTCATCGCTTTTCTATTGAAGGACATTTAGAATCATATTGTTTTTCCACCCTTAAAAACGTCCATCCGTCAGATGGATTTTGAACTGGGTGTATGTACTTTTAGGCATATATGCACCCGTTGTATCATTGTCCATGTGGCTCAAGAACCGCCCCGGGAGAACATCCACTTCGCTCGAGAAACTCGTGCGCAAAGACCAGATGGATTTCGATGGGATAGAACATCCATCTGACTCCAAATCCACCTCCCATCCCTCGTTCAGGCAGGTGCATGAAGGTCAACGCGTTGCAAGGGCACATTCACTTATATTTTTAGTCCTCGACGACTTCATAACTTATGCACTAAAATAGTTAGATCTGGACCTCAGGAACCGACCTGGATCAGTTGAACGAACGCATTGGTCTTTGAGGCTGCAACAGCCGCGGTGGTACCTGAGAAAGGGACAGCTTTTAACCAGAATTGTGTGCACAGTATGAAACCTTGTCCTCATTTTCAGCCTGGGTCTAAATGTACAACATGCAATGGAATCAATTTTCTCCCGCCGAAAATACACTATCTTCAGCAGGGAAAATCTTACTGTGTCCATTGACCGTCATGAGCCATTTCTTGATTTCTGGAGCAGGATTTTCTGCCCTAAGGGTACTCCATACGAACTCAATGGTTTTTTATTGCCTTGGGATCTTGAATTGCAATGTCCACCTCTTCTCTTCTGCCACCATCACTGAACTTCCGCCACAGATCCCCATGCCTCATATCTCGACGAAATTATAGTTCGGTCACGACAGTCACCTTCCGCGCCACGTAATGTTTAAATGGAAACATATAGTTTTGCACTTAAAAAATCTGCCCAAAAAAATCTCAAATCACATAAAAAAGTAATAACTTTATACGCGCAACTAGCGAGGATCTATGACTATGCCATACATATTTTAATTAAACAAACACTTTACAAGCATTGTGAAGTCACAAGGAACGAGGTCAGTTGAGTACAACGGATGTGGGAGCAACGTGACCCGGCGATTCCTTACAAATTCCGTGTGGTACTGTCATTGTACTGGTAGATTACCATTGATCACTGTGGACTAACAAAAAAGGGGGCGCACTGTTTCCTGTTAAGATGGACACAGTTCCTAGGACTCTTTCATGGGTTTACATATTAATCTGGTATCCTTCTATAGATTACTAAACATTTTCAAATTTCAGCGGAACATTTTAATGTTGGCCCATCAAATTCATTAGCAATGATTACCTTCAATGTTCAACCTAAACTCTGCACGAAATGGCTGGTTTGACGTCAAGGTGTTGTTTCTGGAGGTTCCAGGGAAATGAAGTCTGCGGGAAATATTGGTCCACTAATACGGGGCCGAAGAGAAGGAGAATGAGAAACAATAATCAATAGAAACTTACACAATGAATTTCCTCTTGCATAATAATGGGAAATCAATAAAAGGCGATTCGGATCCCTCTTGACGTCGGCGCAAAACATTTAAAGGTATAGCATTCCATCCACAAGCTTCCAACCATAGTCGTTTTGTCCTTCCCACGTATCTTTTCGCAACTATGGATCATCGTGTCTCGAGACGAGAAAAACTATGGGCCATCTTAGCGTTGCTTCGACTTTTCCAGGATGCGGGCTCTGTCAACTTCATCCCTTATTATGCCGTGCATCCTGGACAAAGATATGCGAACGCAACGTTGGAATCCAAGAAATCGAGTCTCGGGTCTTGCAGTGCATATTGTGTGATCCAATATCCAAGGCTCTGCTACGGCTTCAACTACCGAAGAACCGACGATTCGTGCCAGCTGGTTGTGCACGAGAACGGCTCCCTCGTTGAAGGCGAAGGGTACCAATCTTACGTTCGGTGTGAGTTGAACACTCTGCAGTTTCCTCTTGACCGATTTAGAGACTTATCCCTTGCCTTCATTACCGAAACAGGGCTGTGCCTGAGGGAACCCCCGATGATCCCTAATGCTCTTATGTCCTATGATGGTTGGAACGGAAGTTCCCCTGCGCCAAAAGGAGGGATGGTAACGTATCGTTGCGAGAACCCAGAAAGATTCACGGATGGGGCTTCTTTCCACACGGCGGAATGCTGTTCCGCCAAGCCGGATTCTTGGTACATCTCCTTCCAGGAAGGAGCAGTCCACTGTGAGAGCATAGAATCTTCTACTCTTCCTCTAACTTGAAACGTTAAATCATCTACCGGATGTGGTGGTATAACCGCGACGTCGAGAGCGTTGATACTTCGAATAGACTTCCCAGTTTTTCCACTGAACGAGTGCGCCGAAAACACAATTTCTCGCCGTGAATCAGCAGAGAGAAAGTTCCTGCATTCGGTATTGCCTTTAGAGCTATATGCTGAAGATCAAGATTAAGTATTTGCTACCTTCTCCTCCATGGCGTAAATTGAAAAGTCAATCATCCCTAATGTGTCAAGATGATTGGCAAGTGTTGCGGGAGATAGGATTCAATCTCCTATTAAATCGTTGGTGCTCAAGGCAGTTTTCCTAATTCCTATAACGTTTTGGGATTATTTCTGGAACTCAAACGATTCAGTAGACACATTCATCTAACAAGTTTGAAATCCACATATAAATCAATTGTATTTTCAATAAGTCAAAGTATAATTAACTGCAATTGACTGGTAGTGATTATTCGTGCCACCAAACCAGGACATATCACTGGAAATGCTTCCAATCCCTCATTCCTTTGCTTTGAATTAAGTGAGCGAAACTGATTGGCGTAGCTGGAAAGATAGACGATTTCATGATTGGCATGGTATAAAACAGGCGCAGTACCAAGCCATTACGTCATGGTCCACGTATTAATCAGTAAACCTATTGCCTAGGAGTTTGAGTAAAAAAAACCAGAAAAGTGATTTATCAGGAGTGGGTATTGAGCTTCAGAAGGCCCATATTGTTTGAGGGTTTTGACAAGGCTAAATGAAATATACGAAATACTTGTTGAGTTAATATTGTCACTCTAGACGATTTGCATTCATTGCGGTACCTTTGCTCTCCGACTATTACAGTACCTACGAACGCTCACTTTTACTTTTGTATAAGTGGCATCAGCTCCAATGCTTTGCGAATTTATAAGATTTTCCACTCGTATTAAATGGAGTCCCATTAAGCAGATGTTGCGTGAATGTACTTAAATGAACAAATGATCGCCATATTTACGGTGAATCACTTGTCACTTAAGACTGCGAATTTTTACATTCCATCAAATGACCTCTAGAATAGGCGAACACTCTTGACATGATGAATCCGTTTTACAAAAGGAAGCGTAAGTGATGGCATTTTCCACGTCAGATTAGAAACATTTTCTTACTTAAAATGTACTTCTCCTCTTTCTCCCCTGCAGTTTCCCTTGCAAGGTTGACGTGAGCACCATCGGTTAAGGCTCTTGCATCAAGAGAATTAATTAAAAATTGTTAGTTGTTATTTTTTTACGAGAATGAGTATTCATCCCAAATGAAAGTATGACTTTCTTCATGGATATCATCAACTTGGCCTGATTCCGCATCATGAATCAGAAAACCATGGTGCCCCAATTAATACCTTTTTCTTTCATACCTACAATTTACTTTGACTGGTATTTAAGACAATGTTTTTCATTTCTCGGCGATCAAACATGTATCATCTTGATTGAATAATAGAAAAAAGGGGAAAATTGAGGCCCCTATTGGCTTTTGGTTTGATTCTTTTCTTCCTCAAAGCACAACAAATAAAAAAAACTGCAGAGATGCTCTTTAACGGACCATACCCTATCTAACTTACCTCAGAGAAAGCAGGAAGAAGGCACCTCATGCAAGCCACATTCCTTCTATGTTTGGCCGAACGAGCGAGAAAGTCGGCCAAATTTGGGGATGATGAAGCAGTTGGATTAGAAAATAACCGTGGTTAAAGGGCGCGACCCTTTCCTAACCCAAGTGGCCCATCATTTCCCAAAACAGATTGACTTTCTCACTCTTTGGTCTTTGACAGAACTGAAAGAAAAAAGTTGAGGTCTACTAATCGTGCCAGCGCAATTAAGGGCCTCACCAGGAGAACAAAGACTAGACTAGAAGAACGTGAGAAAACCTGACTCAAGTGCAATGCCATGCCTGGCAAGGACATAGCAAAGCTAGCTGATGCGATGGCCTGGGCGAGGCGTCGAACATCTCTGCTCCAGAATGTCCACGTAGAACGTAACCAGTTTATCAACACATTAATATTATACACTCATACCTCAATTCTTTCGGCTAAAACTTACATCCGTGTGATATTTTCGTACAGTATTTTCAAGTGATATATATCTTACAACATTCTGCGTGTAGCCCACTCCACGACAGGTCACTACGTTCCACCAGCCACTGTAAGCGGATGGAGAAAAAGACCCTCTGATAGCGTATTCGCCTGCTCCAAACAATAAACTTGATTGCCAACCGAGCTGCCCGCCAAAACCCCGCGTGTCAGATTGATCCCATAGAGATCATCCGTATCCCGTGCCTAGCTGAAAATGATCCCTTTCATCCAATGTCTGGGTGTTTAAAATGTCAACTACATGCCTCACTTGAACTACGTGTCTCACAAGGCGAGTAAGATAGAGTTTCCATACATCCAGTTGATGGTTCCCTGATGAAGTGAGGCATCCCCTACTATTCACCCAAAACGTGGCCCTTTGTCATTCGAACTTTATCCCTTTAATAATTTATTTTCTGTTCCTGCTAATTGCAAAATATACCTGAGTTATTGCTGTCTGTTGAAATGTTTTTACCAGCGAAATGGATCCCGCTGGACGCGGGTGTGGTCTATTGAATTAATGTTTTTTGGTAATTTTTGTTCCATAAGAACAAGTAGTAATCCCATATGAAAGTTTTTAATGAATATGGTCTATTTGGACTGATTCCGCACCATGAATCAAAAAGTCATAGAGCCCAAATGAATATTTGTTTCTTCTTTACCTACAATTTACTTTGACCGGCATGAAAGACAATGCTTTTCATTTGTCAGCGATCGACCTTTTATCCCCGGGAATGAATAATAGAACAGGGGAAAAATGGGGCCACTTTTGGATTTTGGATTGATCCTCTGCTTCTTCAAAGCACAACAAATCACCAAATGCAGAGATGCGTTTTTACCGACTATAATGAATAGGAATGTGCAATTATATAATTATATGCAACAACTTTTTTCTGATTTTGTTACTACTTCTCACATAGAACTTTCAAATCGGAGTAACTTTTTATCCTGAAGATGTACTACCCCTCAAGCAAGTCTCTCAAAAGGGAGGAACACACTGACGTGATGAAGAAATATCTCATGTAATGATAACTTAAGAGCTCCAGATGAGCGGAGCAGTTTCCCTTTTTTTCTCCCGAACCTGGAGATACCAGGGAAACAGACTGAAGGTGGGAGGACTTAAACTTGATTCCAAAGGAAGTACATCCTCCAGACCCGAAATGGGTTCATTATTAGTCACTTGCTCAACATTGGGAAAGATCTGAACGTCGGAAATGCCGAAGAGTTCATTGTTGCTACGTTGGAAAAAGTTTATATTGGCATAAGCTGGAGTCGGAATGAGAAGCTTCTGAAGGGGGGATCCCACATTATCGCCAAACATCCTTCATTCCATTCTCATTTACATCGTTCGCTGCTCTCACACACGAGTTCGAACTCCACAGGCGAGAAGCAGCATACATACCCAGAATGTTTGTTGACGGAGATGGGATGGGAATACATGGGAACAGTGAATATGACGGAATCGGGACGGGAGTGCTTACCTTGGAGGGCCTACCCTTACACAAGTGTGGATTACTTCTGGGAAACGAAAACTGGAGGAATGCCTCCAATCAATTATACATACGAGAAATCCTTCCGTAATTGGAACTCAATTATTCATCGCAACTACTGTCGGAATCCGTTCGGGAGGGAGAGACCTTGGTGTTTCGTCTCGGACCCTGCCGTCCAATGGGAATACTGCTACATCCCCATGTGCACCGACCGCGGTAATGCAATTCGCTTCCTTGGATTTTGTAACAAATGAAAAAATAGCGCTTGAAAACTAAGGTAAATTGAGGAAAAACTCGAGAGAGCGATTAAGGTAAATTACATGTACACCAAATTGTTGCCTCAAGCATTCCTAGGTTTTAAAATGAAGTATCGATCGATGATTTAATGCGACTGTCGCAATGGCCAACACAATGCGACGCGGAAATCGGCTTACTGTAATTTTAAAATGTAATTGATGGTATGTATTTTAATTTTGGCGACTAATTCACGCGAACTTTCAGGAAATGCATATATTTTTATCTGAAAAGACTCCATTGTGGTTGAACTACTCAGAAATCAAATGAAATTAGAATCTTCCCTCTATTGCCGCCAGCCCCCCCGGAGTGCAAGTTGACCGAACTGGGCGGCGAATACAGTGGAACGAAGAACGAGACGATCACGGGCCGAACGTGCCTCCCTTGGAGAAACTTCGATGAGACGATGGATCCGTCTTCGCTCCCATATTCCGATGACGTCGATGCCCATCAAAACTTTTGTCGCAACTTCAGACTTTCTGAGGTTCGCGATTCACCCAATGTCCAATGATTCATGTACGATTAGAACCTGAATACGGTGTCATATTAATTCGGAACATCTTCAGAGGGCTCTTTTAAATAACATTTATTGAAATATTGAAGCAACGAGGTTACATGTAGTCATACCTGTGCAAACAAAACCCTCCATCTGCGCCGAGGTGATTTTCGATTCCATTATTTATGGTTATTCAGTAGGTTCAAAATACAGGTGGGGGGTCGAGAAGCGCTTTCACCCATTAACCGAGAAGGTCTAGCGATCATGCATCAAAGGGAAAGCTTGAACCCCTTTAAAATACTTTTGGGAGCTTAAACACATGCTGATTAATCGCTTACAAAATGTGAATCTTTAATGGACGGGCAATTGCGACATCACACCGATTGTTCAGATTCCAATAATGTAAGGCAACTAATCTATTCGTCCACATACGGTTAGCACAATAACCATTCGACATTTTTTGCAGAATCAACAAAACTTTCACAGATTTGCCATCTTCACTGCTATATGTAACCCCAGCTTGACCTAGAAAGTTCTGGAACAATCACTCTGGAAAGTGTGGGATATGTATTCTCGGAAAAGTTCTTGTGCTGAACTGCATTTTTTGCTATCCCCTGTGAATCCGGTTTTCCGGAAGAATGGAATCTATGGAACTAAACGAAAATTCCTCATGCTCATAGGCCGTGCGGGTGAAACAGGTTGCTCCCTGGTGTTATATCGAGGATACGAATCCCCCAGCTTGGGAATACTGCGATGTGAGCTTCTGCGAGCGTCGAATTGAAATCGGAGTCGAGGGGCATGTGTATCCTGAATGCCGACTGTCAGAGAAGGGAATCGAATACGTGGGAAGCAAGAACGAGACCGAGAATGGAAAATCTTGCCAACGATGGGACGTATATATCATACGACTTCAAGTATTGACTTACCCCTATATGTTTTCATTCAACGACTTCCCCAATATCATATCTCCAGAGAATCACTGCCGGAACACTGGGCAATTGGACCGGCCGTGGTGTATGGTATCTGATCTCAATACGGTGTGGGAATACTGTGACATTCCCGTTTGCGAAAATCTAGGTCCGTCCCGTCACGCGTCCGACCGATGAATGTGAGGTTCCACTCTGATTCATTTATTTTTGTTTTCAGATCCGCTGGAATGCAAGTTGAGTCCACTTGGAATCGAATATGTGGGGATGCTGAACGTGACGATATCTGGGAATCCCTGCAAACCTTGGTTGGAGGTGTGTGCAAAAAAGCCCTCTGCATGCGAATGGCTAGTATCGAGATTTCCAGACGAACTTGATGGGAAACACCGGTTTTGTCGAAATAAGGCTCCATCATACCACGGCCCATGGTGTTTCACCTACTCTGACGACGGAATTGAATGGGAGTATTGCGACGTTCCCTTCTGCCCACCTACCGATCAGAAACGATGCGACATTCGAGTGGGTGGGCGTTGCGTCAGTGAGTCTTCATTTTAATATATTTGCTCTTTAATTTTTCTTTCCCGATTTTCGCTTTTATTAAAAAGGAATTCCATAGACAGAGCTGAGACATTGCGATTGCCGTCTGTTCTGTTTCTCATAAAAGATTCCCGGCTGTTATTTAATTGAAACGGTCTTTTAGGGAGGGTGAACATTTGAATATGTAACTGTTTCCAGCGACTTCAGCAAAGTATAATTGTAGGTCACCTTGCTTGGAATTGCTACGACCGAGACGTCGTGCCTAAATCGCTTTGCTCCTTGTGACGATACCTCGGTCGTATTTCAAGTTGGAAAGCGAAGAAAATATATTTCAGATTTTTCTGAGATTTCAAGCTTCCCATAGACTAAAGTAAAGAAACGGTATTTTTTTATTAAAAAATGACCCTGGTGACCCGAGGCCAGTCCCAGGGTCATCTATGGCCCATCAATGACTGAGTCAACAAACTCCGCCGTCTGAACGACTCATCCCTAAAAAACTTCATTTCAATGTTTCTGAGCCAGGGGTCATGCCGTCTCGAAGGACAAGCGGCCTTACCCAGATACGGTGATTAGTATATATCATAAGATGCATGGATGGGGTCATCCCACACTTACCTTCTCTTGAGCAAGTAAAATCGCACTAAACGCCTCTCACACGCTTCTCAAGTCCGCTGACCTCTCTGATCATTCTATAAGCCCGTCTCAGGACCTTCTCGAGCTCAACTACTTCACCTTCATTTGTATGCCGAAACTGAACTCAACGCTCCTATGGAGGTCTGATCTTTATGCAACATGAAACGCAAGAATGAGACGCAAGCTTTCACTTCCTATGCAACGAATGATGAAGCCTAGTTACAATGCTACATTTAGTCAGTCACTTGAGCATAACAATGTTAGTTCCTCATCCATAAAGATCCCTAAATCTCTCCGCTTGGCATGGCCATGCCAGTGGCAGCATCACATACCGTCATCTTGACCGAGTTTGGTATAAGTCGATTTCTATAAGCGCCCTAATGTATGAATGTCAAATTGGGTTCCGATTTCTCTTGATGTCTCCATTCGAACCGCGAATTTCATCATCTTCCTTACCAGGCTTTGCAGTATTCCCGCTCTCTCAGGAATCATAACTTACCGCACCTTACGTTTCTCAGGCCCATTTGAGTGCAAAGTTGACGAGAAAGGAGTGAAATACATTGGGACGAAAAACGTGACCAGGAAGGGCCAGCCATGCCAGCCGTGGTTGAGCAATTCCCCGAACAACCAACTCCTCATCATCGACTACGACATCTCGCACTTTTACTATAACGACAGAAGTAAGTGGTAGACGCCCCATCCTCCAAAACGGAGTGATCTTTTATGCACTCATTTTGCAGTCTATGCTTAGAAATGAGGACTGGTCGGCTCCAAACTAGGAAACTGTCGTGCTAGGCAGTGCTCCCTTTGACTCCTGAAGACCGCTAAACATAAGAAATAAAATGAAATGAAAATGAAAGAATACAAGATTGATTCGTTTGTTCTTATTGCATTAATTGAACCTTGGCGAGAACCTTCGAGGCGTTAGCCAGGCTGGAAGGGTCGAGGAAAGAATACAAGATTGGCCAGGCTGGAAGGGTGTGTCTGGCTTTTCTCCTGCATGCACGATGAATCTGGAGGTGATGTTGCTAGAAAGACTTGGGTCATTCAATTACTAAACTCCAGTGCTGATCCAGTGAAGGAAGTCATATGGAAGGACCCTTTAGTGGTATAATTGCACTCATTGGAGTACTTTCGAGCTTCACTCAATATTTGCACGTGTTCAGACTCGGGAAAAAGTGGAGGTAGTTCCCAAACGTTGAACATGTAATGCTGGCACAACATAACACCTATACGTAACAATATTTTCAACTTTGAACAATGTTTCAACTTTGCGGCAACATTGAATCCACCTCTTTGGCGCAAATGTGGCAATTTTGTGCATTGAAGTATTAGACCTCGCTCAATGTTGACCTGACGTTGTCGTGCCGAATGGATACGCTTTCCAATTATAGAATATTGCCGCATAGGATATCGTTGAGACGAAAATTGCGTGTATGTTGCTTAAGGTTTCTATGCAAAAACTGCGTTGCCCAACAAATTGTCAAATGCATAGGAAAAGCGTGCCAGGACTTTTAGACCACCCTGCAAAACCAGTTTGACATTGTTCGCCTGGGAGAAGTAAGTGTCGGTACGAGACTTATTAGCTTCCCCCAAAGTGACAGGTCGAAGAAATTTGTCATAAACGGTTTGTCTTCAGGATCTCGCCAGCAGTACCTGTTCATTTTGCGGGGGGGGGGGGGGGGGGGGGGGTCCTGNAAAGATTCCAGGCTTTAATTTAATTGGAGCGGTCTTTTAGGGAGGGTGAACATTTGAATACGTAACTGTTTCCAGCAACTTGAGCAAAGAATAATTGTAGGTCACCTTGCTTGCAATTGCTACGACCGAGACATCGTCCCTAAATCGCTTTGCTCCTTGTGACGATACCTCGGTCGTATTTCTAGTCGGAAAGCGACGAAAATATAATTCAGATATTTTCTGAGATTTCAAATTCCCGTAGACTCTAGTCTCGCTCGTATCCGATCGGCAGAATAGGCGATCTGCGACTGAGATAATGCCACGGAAAATATTAACCTTTGACTTGTAATCTCAATGAAAGAAGTGCAATAAAAAAAAGAACGACGAAGTCAAGGGGCTTAACTTACCGCACTTTGCATTTCTCAGGCCCATTTGAGTGCAAAGTTGACGAGAAAGGAGTGAAATATATTGGGACGAAAAATGTGACCAGGAAGGGATTCAAATGCCAGTCGTGGTTGAGCAATTCCCCGAACAACCAACTCCTCATCATCGACTACGACCTATCGCACTTTTACTATTACGACAGAAGTAAGTGGTAGACGCCCCATCCTCCCAAACGGAGTGATCTTTTGTCCACTCATTTTGCACTCTATGCTTAGAAATGAGGACTGGTCGGCTCCAAACCAGGAAATTGCCGTGCTAATTGGCAGTGCTTCCTTTGACTCCTGAAGAACGCTAAACATAAGAAATAAAATAAAATGAAAATGAAATAATACAAGATTGATTCGTTTGTTCTCTTTTTGCATTAATTGAACCTTGGCGAGATCCTTCGAGAATGACAGTGAGTTAGCCAAGCTGCGAGAGTGTCTGGCGTTCCTCCTGCATGAGCGATGAATCTGGAGGTGATGTTGCTAGACAGACTTGGGTCATTCAAGTACTAAAATCGAGTGCTGATCCAGTGGAGGAAGTTATATGGAAGGACCCTTCAGTGGTATAATAGCACTCATTGGAATACTTTCGAGCTTTACTCAATATTTGCACGTGTTCAGCTCGGGAAAAAGAGGAGGTAGTTCCCATACGTTGAAAATGTAACGCTGGCATAACAGAACACGCGAACGTATCGATATTTTCAAAGTTGAAGAATGTTTCAAAATTGCGGCAACATTGAATCCACCTCTTAGGCACAAATGTGGCAACATTGCAGCATTGAAAAATTAGTCCTCGCTCAATGCTGACCAGACGTTTTCGCGCCGAATGGATACGCTTTCCAATTATAGAATATTGCCGCATAAGATATCGTTGCGACTAAAATTGCGTGTATGTTGCTAGAGTTTCCTATGCAAAGACTGCGTTGCTCAAAAAATTGCCAAAGGCATAATGAAAGTGTGCCAGGACTTTTTTTCTACCCTGCACAACCAGTGTGACTTTGCTGGATTGGGAGAGGTGTCTGTACAAGACTTCCCCCAAAATGACAGGTCAAGGGAATTTGTCCTAAACCGTTTGTCTTCAGGATCTCGCCAGCAGTGCCAGTTCATTTTGCAGGGGCGAAAATGCTTAAATGAAAACTTCTTGCCTCAATCAATCATTTGCTCATGAAATGAATACTGAAGGTGATCATGTCCTCGAAATTAGTAAAGAAACATATTCATTGAGTTACAGCATTCCATACCTACCCAATTAATTTGCGAGAAATTATTTCGTAGAAAATGTCAACTCTCTTGAAAGTGGCTCAAGGGAATAGACCCCTGAAGCAGTAATTTTACTGAAGCAACACCCTAACAGCTTTTTACATGCCCACCGAATTATTTGTTTACCTGCTCGATTCTTCTAGGAGGAAAATTTATTTGAAAAGCTACCCCGATATAATCTGCCCCCTGAGAATGTAGCCCAACATATAGGATTGCTAACAAAATCATTGACCGAAAAACTACTCCTCTAAGGCAGTGGTTCCCAGACATCTTTGAATCGCGACCCACTTGCTGACGTACAGAAAATTTCGCGACCCACCGAAATCCAGAACGAGGTATTTTCAAAATAATTTTGACCAACAATATCGATCGAACTTTCCTGCAGGGCGTGTTTATCTTGAGCGGATGCGGCAGTAGTGATTTTTTATTCTGGAAAAATGTACGCGACCCACCTTGATGCCTCTCCCGACCCGCAGTTTGGGAATTGCTGCTCTAGGGGACGTTAACTATCATATCCGTAAATTCTGGTGGAGAGAAACAATTTTCGGGAAAAAAACCTATCCACACCCCATGTACGTGTACGCATTTGGGATGTACATGAATAGAATGATTTTTCTTCAGATCCAGCAGTTTTTTTGTCCCAGTTATCAGCTTTCTGTAATATAAATGATGATTCCCTGAAGCAGCTTACTTGGGAACTTTTCTGGAATCGTAGAATCTTCATTTTTCATGTCACTTCGGCAATGTCACACATGAACAGGAGTTAGATCATGCCGAAAGATGACGACATGTCTTCATAACCTGATATTTCTGATAAGCCTGTCTTATGGACAAAGATGTATATTGTTCTAAGCACGTACTTTCAGATCGAGGGGGCAGTTCGTCGTACAGTAATCCAGCACATTTTCCGGACGACTTGCACGGACACCACAACTACTGTCGGAACCCGAATGGAGACGAAGAGGTTTGGTGTTACAAAGCCTCAGGGATGGGACGGGAATACTGTGACGTCCCCAAATGTCCTTGAACCTCGCCTTACAGTGAGACATGTATGAGGACCATGTTATCAATGTTTCTACCGTTCGAATATTCCTGATACTAGGGCTGAACAATGTATGTGGATTTCATTTCTTTTCATTTCGAGATACGGAGCTATGGCTATAATGATATGGTCCTTATGCACGCAAATCGATTTTATCGTCGACGATTTCTATGGGGAAATTTAACAGTCCATCGCGGCTTCCTTTGGGTGGATTTTCTGTTTGGGTGGATGTTCCTATCTGGGATGGGATTTGGGTGGATGTTCCTATCTCTAATCAAAATTTATTTGATTAGAGATAGGAACCGTTCTGAATATCTATGCATAGAAATCCCATTTTATTTCTTTCTGACCGCGGAAAAGTTGCATTCACACAGCAAAGCAAACAAGTTCAGTGAGGTATAAGAACATATTTCATACGTTTTGAGGTATGTACGTATGTCGTAGAATCCGTTTATTGAAAAGGTATAAAAGCAAAATAAGTAACAATGGACACGCTTTTCATATATTTTTCAAAAGGAAATTTTGGATTTTTTATTTATAAACCCATGTGTACTCGACGTAAGCTAAGCAAGAAATGCACATGAACCTTCATTTTCAGGTCCGAACTGAGCTTTAGTGACACCAAGCTCATATGGCAGTAGGGCATACCGTTTGTCTTATCAATAGGGTTTTCTTCCGTTGCCACGGGCTTTACAAGTCTGGACCATCGCGAAAACAGGGTCTCAAGCTGTTTCAAAACTGGCTTTGCTTTTTACCGAGAGTAAAAACTCCTAAGCTGTCAGTTTACAATCATCTTTCCACGTGTCAAACGACAACATTATAAAATTTACAGAATGTTTGCTTTCCGTTGAAACACGACACTCATACTTTCGCCAAATGCTATTTCACAAGTATCACGATGGGAAGTGGACAGGGAGCGGAACAAAACTACTCTCTGAAGGTCCAGCAGGTTTTGACTTGAGTTAGGTTGTTTGGAGGAACATTAGCACCATCTCGTGCGTATTTTGCTGCTGCATTGGGAACCCAGACATCTGCGTCTGCAAAATACCAATATAAACGCATGGACTGCATGTGCACTACTGTATGGTACCGGACAGACAAATATGTACGTCTCACTTTCTTGTGTCTCTTAGGAAGTTTCCGCTTTTCCGTGAAGAAAGATCATTAGGTCGTACAGCTATATGATCGCGTTGCTTATCGGGAATAACACATCCCATGTTTTTCTGTCCACTCCATCAAATAAGTAAAAATGAAACTCGAAGGAAATATAAATATTGCTATACT